GGTGGCCCATGACAAGGGCAAGAAACCAATGGGGTCATAATGCAGTTCATATCAATTCATATTTCTGCCCCACTTCAATGGGACTGAACAGTCAATAGTTCCCATTGTTACAGAAAGTTACAGACAGGGTGCGTGCTGTTTCTCTGCTGCTTCTCCTCTTTCATTGCTTTGATATTGTCTATGCTTTGCAGTTTCCAGGACACTGCCACAAACAATGACATTTGTATTTCAATTCCCTTTTGTTTTCCAGTGAATCTTGCTCTCCATGGCATCACCCAAGGTAGGAGGCATTTGCAAGTTTCTTGGATAATCATTTGGAAACCTGAATTCTTGCTGTGCACATCTCTTAAGCGACTTTTTTTCCAAACATGAGACAAATGGGACTTGATCCAGCCTTTCCAGTCCAAAGTTAAAGATATCCTGTCAAAGACTGGGCACTAGAATCATCTCCAACTTTTCTCCTGCGCGAGTACCCTATCAGTTACAGTGAGGACCAATAACCATTTTCATTGAATTGGTCACATTGTACAGAGTCCATTCAGTAAACCTGTAACAAAGATTAACTCCACTACAATACTTTCAAATGACTGTGAGATTTAAAACAGGTTGTTTGAGAAAACACAGAGTTGTGATCATTTTGGAAGGGAGAACAGAAGAAGAGTATTATTAAAATAGAGAGAAACTGCAGAGAGCTGCAACACAAAGGAACTTGGGGGCGGGAGATGAGTGTGCATGAAACACAGAAAGCTAGCACATGGGTGATGGCAGGTAATCAGGAAGGGCAAAGGAAAAGTTTGCCCTTATTTCAAGGGGGTTGGAATATAAGAGTATGGAAGTCTTACTCAACTGTACACGGTACGATGGAGACCACATCTGGAGCACTATGAGCAGTTTTGCTCCTCTTATCTAAGAAAAGGTATCATTTCATTGGAGGCAATCCAGAGAAGGTTCACTAGGACGATCCCTGGGATGGAGGTTGTATTCTACTCACTGGAGTTTAGAGGAATAAGACGAGATCTCATTGAAATGCATAGGGGCTTGACAGGGTCAATGCTTTTAGGATGTCTCACCCTCATGGAAGAGTCTAGGACCAGAGGGCACAGTCTCAGAATAAAGGGGCACCAGCTGAAGACTGAGATGAGGAGGGATTTCTTCTGTCAGAGAGTTGTGAGTCTTTGGAACTCCTTGCCCAAGGGATAGGGCAGGAAAGTGGATGTGACGAATGTGGGATTCAGTTGGACGACAGAGCAGCCTCGAGTGTCCAAATGGCCTGCTCCCATTCTCATGGTCTTATGGTCTTAAATACGAGTAGGAAGGCAGTGTCAATGATGGATGAGCTCATAGATAAGATTAGTCAGACAGTAAAGTGAAGGTTTTAACAGAATTGCTACGTTTCATTTACTGAAAAGGTTTGGGAAGCTAAAGGTAAAGTGCCACATTTCAAATCCACCAGCAAAATTCCAAGTTATGGCACTGACAAGTAATGGCAGTGAGTGTTTGCACAATATGTTTGAGAACAACAATGTGGGAAATAGACAGTCCTGTCTCTTTTTTGATGGACGTCAGCATTAAATGGTCATGACGTGGATGTGCCGGTGTTGGACTCGGATGGACAAAGTCAGAAATCACATGACACCAGGTTATAGTCCAACAGGTTTATTTGAAAACACAAGCTTTTGGAGCCTCAGTCCTTCTTCAGGTGTTAGTGACAGAGTTAGTATCAGACACAGAATTTATAAGTAAAAGATCATAGGTTCACACCATTGATGAGGATGTACTAAACAAACTTAGATGCTGTGAAATCTCTAATCAGTTCAAAGGTTTTAATTGATCAATATGTATATGTAAATCCCTGAATTCCTTTCAAGTCACAGTCCTGACAGAACTAAAGGTTTTATCAGTGTAAAGAAGAGGTGACATTTTAGGTCAGATGGTCAGATAATGCATTTTAGGTGTGAGACCTTGTTTAGAATCTGTTTGTGTTTTTGGAGTCAGACTGGTTTTGTTTCTAAAGTAGGAATTTATTAAATGCCATATTGACTGACTGGCAATAAATTGTGGGTCTTTGAACAAAATAAAATGTATCTGCAAATATAAATTCAACCCATAGATTCGTGTGTGTGTGTGAGAGAGAAAGAGAACCCATATAATAAATATTAATGGACATTATCTTCAGTTCTGGTCTTCAGTTCTGTCATGACAGACCAGAACACTTGGAAATGTAACAAACAATGAGGAGAGTGAAGGAGGAGAACAGAGGGGAATATGAATAGTTTATAACGGGCAGGCGCATGACGCATGAAATTTAATTCACTCGTGGAAGTGATTGTCACTGGCTGCCCCCTTGAGAAGGTGGTGGTGAGCTGCCTCTTGAACCGCTGCAGTCTGTGTGCTGTAGGTAGACCCACAATGCCGTTAGGGAGGGAATTCCCGGATTATGACCCCAGCGACACTGTAGGAAACACTGATATATTTCCAAGTTGGGATGGTGAGTGACTCGGAGGGGAACTTGCAGGGGATGGTATTCCTACGTGGCTGCTGCCCTTGTCCGACTAGAAGGATGTGGCTGTAGGTATGGAAGGTGCTGCCTGAGAATCTTTGGTGAATTTCCAAAGTGCATTTTGTAGACGGTACACACTGCTGCTACTGAGCATTGGTGGTGGAGGGAATGGATGTTTGTGGATCTGGTGCCAATCAGGCAGGGGCTGATTTGACCCTGGATTGTGTTGCGCTTCTCAAATGTTTTTGGAGCTGCATCCATCCAGGCAAGTGGAGAGCATTCCAGCACACTCCTGATTTGTGCCTTGTTGATGGTGGACAGGTTTGTGATGGGTGTGTGGGGATGCGGGAGAATCAGTAATGTTAATGCCATTGTACGTCAAGGGTTGTTGGTTAGATTCTCTCTGATTGGAGATCACCGCTGCCTGGTAATAGAGCAACACTTTGCATGAGGTGGGGGAGGTCTTCTGGAGAACACAGAGGAATAAAATTGGAAGTTTTCTACTCTGAGGTCGTCAGATCAAAGTGAGATGAAACCGAAGTGTTGGGTATTACAGAAAAGGTTTCACACTGCATTCAAGCTGACTCTATTAAGGCTAAACATAATCGGTGCAGTTAACTTTTTCCGATCAGGAGATCTATTTATACCTGTCAGTGATTGGTCCTTCCTAAAAAGAAACAAAGCTGGTTAAATGGTTGACATCACAAAGAAACTTCAAGAAACCCAGGGTTAGGTGTCACCAAAATTTATCGCGTTCAAACCATCGTTCGGTCAGTAGCCCAACTCGAAGCAGAGCTCTGTATACTGTGACACTGAGGCCGAGCTGCACATTGTGTTCATCGCAGTGAGAAGTTAAAAAGATACAGTTAATGGATCCTCAACCTTCCTGCTTCTCTCTCTTTCTTCAGGTTTTGGAAGGCACCAGCTTTACGTATATCCCCCAAGCGGGCTTGTAAAAGAAGGAGAAACTTTAAAATTGCAATGTGGGACAGATAAGGGACGAGCTGCTTCTTGGTACAAAAAATAGTGTGAAAGTCACTAAGACACAGAGTAATGTTTATGAAATGCTTGTGAACAGTGAAACTGGTGGGCCTTACTCCTGCAGCACAGCTTCCTCAAAGTAGCGGAGTGAAACCGTGCAACTTGTCGTCATTACTAAGTGTGCTTTAAAAAAATCATTCACAGAATGAGGGCGTTGCTGGCTCAGCCAGCATTTATTGCCAGAGGACAGTTAAGAGTCAACCAGATTGCTGTGGGTTTGGAATCACATGTAATCCAGTTTGACTTTGATTTACACAGGAAACTCCATATGTAAGTTGAGTACACATCGATTTAACGGTTTTCCTGACCTCCCAGACCAGTTTCAGCCAAACATTCTTCTTGCAGCATGAGTCACTTACCTACAGTTGGGCACCTGAACTGGGAGTTAGTAATTTCTCATGAGGAGAGGTTGAGTCACTTGGGCCTGTACTCATTGGAGTTTAGAAAAATGAGAGGCAACCTTATTGAAGATCCTTAGAGGGACTTGACAGGGGAGATGCGGAGAGAGGTTATTTCGCCTTGTGTGGGACAGTCTGGGACCAGAGGGGCATCATCGTAGAATAAGGGAGAGGGGAGTTGCACAATGAAGTTGCAGATGAAGAATTTCTTCACTCTGAGGGGCAGTGAATCTGTGAACTTATTTTTATCGCAGAGAGCTGTCGAGGCTAGGCCATTCACGCCCACCAACCTCTTGGTGAAAAGTCCTGAAATCCCCATCTAAACCTCCCGCTGTTCACATAAAATGATGTCTCCCTTGTTATTGACCCTTCAACTAAGGGGAACAGCTGCTTCCTATCCCCCTGTCTATGCTCCTCATAACTTTACACACCTCCATAATGTTCCCCCTCAACCTTCTCTGGTCCAAAGACAACAACTGAAGCTTATGCAGCCTCCCTCTGAAACTGAAATGCTCCATCCCAGACAACATCCTGGTGAAACTCCTGTGCACCCCCTCCAATCCAAACGCATCCTTCCTATAGTGCAGACACTGGAACGCATACAGTGCTCCAGCTGTGGCCTTACCAAAGCCCTGTCCAGCTCCGACATTACCTCCCCGCTTTTATAATCGATACCATTGATCTTTCAACTGCAATTTGTTGAATTCCAATATGATTCTGTGTCCAGCTTTTGTCACATATCTTTTGCAGTATCTGATGGAACTCTAACTCTGGAAGCCAAGCCGCAACATGCTCTGAGAGGTGAGAAGATTGTAATGAACTGTCGGACCCCATTCCGGACCTTGAGAGGACATAATCTGTTCCTATTGTATCGGAATAATTGGTATATGCAAAAAACTAAAGATGGTTCATTCACCATAAAAAGTGCAAAGCAGTCAGACGAAGCATCTTATCAATGTAAATTCAGAATTGGCTACAGAGAGTGGGCTTCGAACAACCTAAGCATCACAGTATCAGGTTGGTCATTACTTTGTCTAGTTAGTGCTGGTGAATGTTTTGATGATTCTATGCCACGTCTGTCTCAGCTGCTGTTGACAAGACTCTCCCAGCAATGGAGATTTGAGGATAGGAGCAGGGGTGCTTTGTCATCAATGACCTTCCCTCCATCGCAAGGTTAGAAGTGGGGATGTTCACTGATGATTGCACAATGTTCAGCACCATTCATCACTCCTCAGGTACTGATGCAGTCCTTGTTCAAATGCAACGGCGTCTGGACAATATTGAGGCTTGGGCTGGCTAATGGCAAGTAACATTTGTGCCACACAAATGGTAGGTAATGACCAATAAGAGACAATCTAACCATGGGCCCTTGACAATCAATTGTGTTAAGATCACCGAATCTCCCCACTATCAACATCTTGCAGATTATCATTGAGGGAGAGTCTATCCTTAGCCCCCTTGACATTCAATGGTGTTACCACCACTGAATCCCCCACTATCAACATCCTGGAGTTTTTTGGAGAAACTCAACTGGACTTGTCACATACACACGGTGGTTACCAGAGCAGGTCAGAGGCTGTGAATTCTGTTGTGAGTAACTCACCTCCGATTCTCCAAAGCCTGTCCACCATCTACTAAGCACAAGTCAGGAGTGTGATGGAATGTTCTTCGAGAAGATAGAACACCATCCAGGGACAAAGCAGACTCCACTTGATTGGCAGAACATCCACAAACATGCACTCCCTCCGCCACCAACGTTCAATAGCAGCAGTGTGTACTATCTCCAAGATGCACTGCAGAAATTCACTAAAGATCCTCAGACTGCACCTTCCAAACCCATGGCCACTTCAAACTGGAAGAACAAGGGCAGCAGATACATGTGAGCACCACTCCCTGCAGCCTCCGCTCCAAGCCACTCACTATCCTGAGTTGGAAATACATCAATGTTCAGTGTTGCCAGGTCAATATCCTGCAATTCCCTCCCTAAGGTTCGTGTGGGTCTACTTACAGCAGATGGATTGCTGCGGTTCTAGAACCTTCTCGATGGTGCAATCAGGAACAGACAATTAGATGGTGGCCAGTCATGTATGAAGAGAGATTGGTGAGGATTATATTCACTGGAGTTGAGAACAATGAGGAGGAGATCTGATTGAAAACTTTAACATTTTAACAAGAGATATTAACTTAATATTTTGTGTCAGTTTTTATTATTGAGAAAGAAATGGAGTTAGAGAACGCAGCGAAATAAATATTGATGTTTTGAAAACAATACACGAGAGAAGCATCTTGAGATCTTAGAAAGCAGAAAGAAAGATAAATTGCGAAGACCTAATCATAAGTATCCCAGGACATTGTGGGAAGTTAGGGAGGAAATTATGGGGCCCTTAGCAGTAATATCTGTATCATGTGTAAACACGGTGAAGTACTGGAGGATTAGAGGGTGGCTAATGTTGTGCCGTTGTTAATGAAAGGCTGTAAGGAGAAGCCTGGAAATGATAGACCTGTGAGTCTGACATTGGTGCCGGGTAAGTTGCTGGAGGTGATTGTGAAAGATTGGATTTCGATGCATTTGAAAAGGCAAGGATTGATTAGGGAGATTCAGCATGATACTGTGCGAGGAAAATGATGTCTCAAAAAACTTGATTGGGTTTTTTACTGAAATAACCAAAAAGATTGATGAGGGCAGAGTGGTAGACATTATTTAATTAGACCTTAGTAAAACCTTTGACAAAGTTCCACTTGGTAGACTAATTAGTAAAGTTAGATCACATGGGATTCAGGGAGAGTTGGCCAATTGGATACAAAATTGGCTGAATGGTAGGAGACAGAGAGTAATGATGGAGACTTGTCTTTCAGACTGGAGGCCTGTTTGTCACTTACATAAATGTTTTGGATGAGAATATTGGAGGCATGGCTAGTAGGTTTGCAAATGACACTAAAGTTGGTGGTACAGTGAACACACATCTAAGAATAAAAAGAGACCTTGATAAATTATATCAATGGCCTCAGGAGTGACAAATGGAGTTTAATTTGGATAAATGTGAGGTATTGCATTTTGGTAAAATAAACAAGGACAGGGCTTATGAAATTTATGGTACAGCACTGGGTAGTGTTGTAAAACATAGACGCCCAGGGGTTCGGGGACATAATTCTTTGAAATTTGTGTCACAGGTAAACAGGGACGTTAAGAAGATGTTTAGCACCCTTGCTTTCATTGCTCAGTCCTTTTGAGTTGGGAAGTCATGCTGAGGTTGTACAGGATGGTGGTGAGGCCTCTTCTGGAATACTGTGTGCAGTTCTGGTCACCATGTTACAGGAAGGATATTGTTAAACCAGAGAGGGTTCTGAAAAGATTTACCAGTATGTTGCTGGGAGTGGAGGGTTTGAGATATAAAAATAGATTGGAAAGACTGAGACTTTGTTCATTGGAGCAAAGGAGGTCGAGGTGTGACTTTACAGAGGTTTATAAAATGTTGTGGGGCATAGATAAAGTGAATTAAAGGGTCTTTTCCCTTGGGTGGGGGTGTTCAAAACAAGAGGGCATATTTTTAGTGTGACAGGAGAAAGATCTGAAAGGTTTATTTGGAAATATTGGGGATAGGTACTTGAAAATCCATTGCAGAAACAATAGGATGGCAAATGTGTTCAGAGCAGTTACCCGTGTAATGAAAGCCTATGGTAAGCTGTAATGATGCAACTTTGCTTTCAATCATAGATGGAAGTGTGGCTTTCCATGTTGTCCCAGTTTCACCTTTAGAAGGAGAGACACTGGAACTGAATTGTCGGTACAGATACAAAATTTGGTGGATGAGGGAATTTACCTTTTGTAAAAAAGACCAGATAATACATTCAGTGAAGTCCGCACGACAGGAATCTTCATACAGCATTAAAGTAACCAGCACTGATGACAGTGGATTGTACAATTGCAACATTAATGAGCAGACATCACGAACTGTTGATGTTTGGGTTCAAGGTACGTACCTGATGTTACAATCTATGGTGGACAATGTAAATATTTCTCTGGATTGCTGATTAAAACACTGGAGACATTCTGAGTCATGCAACACAGAAGAGTTCCTTTGGCCCATTGGGTCTGTACTGCCAAAGAAAAACTAAATCTAAACTAGCCCCATTTTCCTGCACTAGGCCCCAGGACCTTGAATGTTAGGACATTTCAAATGCTCATCCAAGTACACTTTGAAGGTTGTGAGTTTTCCCACCTCAACTGCCCTCCCAGGCAGTGCATTCCAATCCTCACCACCCTCTGGGTGAAACAATCCTCAAATCCCCCTCTGAACCTTCTGCCTTCCAGTTTAAAATGATGCCTCCCTTGTTATTGAACCTTTGACTAAGAGGAACAGCTGTTCCGTACCCCCTGCCCATGCCCCTCATAACCTTACACACCTCTATCAGGTTCCCCCTCAGCCTTCTCTGCCCCCGACAAAACAACCCAGGCTTATTCACTCTCTAGTCATCACTTCCCACCCCCTTTGAGAGAAGCCATTCCTCCTCATCTCAATTTTGAATCTGTCTCACCCCCTTATCCTGAAACAATGACGTTCTAGGTTGTCCCACATGAGGAAATATCCTCTCTCTTCTCCTTTGTCAATCTTCTCCCACCACCCCAACTTTAACGGTTTATCTGTAATGGAAAAGGTAGAAAAGTCACCACGGTCCCACTCTCTCATTAATCAGACAGAAGACTGGGTGATTGTTTAATCTGAGGATCACCACACATCAGGAGAGGGGAGAGCCTGAGATGGAGAGTCCTTCATGGCAATATCAGCCAGTGGGGGAATTTAACCCACACTGTTGGTGTCGCTCTGCATCACAGACCAGCTGTCCAGCCAACTGAACTAGACAACAAACAGCCACACAATCTCCTCTTATCCTTCCAAAGCCTGATCAACCTGCTCAGTCTCTCCTCATAAGACAAGCCTTAGTCTCTGATGGGATCTAGGGAAGTTGCAATCTGTTGACATGGCCTCTGTCTCTGGTTGTGATACATCATCACTAAATAGAATCATCGAGGCATTCAGCTTGGAAACAGCTCTTCAGCCCAACTCAATCATGCTGACCAGGTTTCCTAAACTAAACTAGCCCCATTTGCTTGTGCTTGGCACATGTCCCTAGAAACTGTTCTTATCCATATACCTCTCCAAATGTCTTTTAAATGTTGCAATTGTACCAGCCTCCACCACATCGTCTGGCAGCTCATTCAATCCATGCATCGCCCTCTGTGTGAAAAGGTTGCTCCTCAGGGTTCCTTTTAAATCCTTCCCCTCTCAGTTTAAACCCATGCCTACTAGGTTTGGACTCCCCTACCCTTGGCTATTCATGTTATCTATGTTGCTCATGATTTTATGAAACTCTATCTGTCAAGGGATGAAGAGAAATAGCACTTGGGGTGAATGGGATCAAAGGTTATGGGGACAAAGCAGGAATAGGCTGTTGTGTTGGATGACCAGCCATAATCATGAAGAATGGTGGAGCAGGCTAAACGGGCTAAATGGCCTCCTCCTGCTGCAATGTTCTATGTTTCTATATCACCCCTCAGCCTCCGAAGCTCCAGAGAAAAACGTTCCAGTCTGACCAGCCTCTCATTATAACTCAGGCCCTCCAGTCTCGATAACATCCTTGTCAATCTTTTTTGCACCTTTCCAGTTTTATAACACGATATGTCTTATCATTATGCGATCACGGTGGCCCCTCTCTCTCGTGTTCTGCAATTTAAGAAATGTGCAGAGGCAACTGAAGAGGTGCTGAAAACATTCCCAAGACCCTGCCTGGAGTTATGTTGATCAGTTGGGGAAATAAAAACTGTGGCTGCTCTCTGTTTAGTTGAGGTGAAGATTGCGATGGGGTTTGAGGCTGGTATTTTACATCATAAGGAGTATGGGCTGAGGACAAAGGTAAGGAATCTGTCCTCATTTGAGGAGAGTGAGTGAACCAGACCACAAACTTTCAAGGTGGATCGACTAGTGTAGCAAAGGAGATATGAGGAATTTTAATTTTGTGGTTCAGATAACGAAGACAAATCTCAGTGTTTTATGGACAAAGACATGATGGAAACCTTCATAAGAAAGGAGAACATTGCATTTGAGGCATCACATGGCTGCAGACTCCAGCCACATACCAGAAGTGTGATGGCCTAGCAGTGTTACCATTGGGCTATTAATCCAGAGACTCGGAATGTTCTTGGGATTTGGGTTCAAATCCTGCTGTGGAAGTTGCCTTTGAAAGGCACTAAAGGTTTACAAGGATGTTATTGAGAATGGGGTTTAAGTTATATGGATAGGCTGCGACTTTTTTCCCTGGAACATAGGAGGCTGAGGGCAGATGTTGTAGAGCTTTATAAAATTGCAAGGGGCATGGATAATGTGAACAGCCAATGTCTTTTTCCCAGGGTAGGAGAATTCAAAACTGGAGGGCGTAAGTTGAATGTGAGAGGGGAAGGTTTAAAAAGGATCTAAGGGGCAACTTTTTCACACAGAGGGTGATGTGTATATGGAATGAGCAGCCAGAGGAAGTGGTGGACATGGATACAATTATAGCATTAAAAAGACATTTGGACAGGTACATGGATAAGAAATGTTTAGAGGGCTACAGGTAAATGCTGGCAAATGGGACTGGATCAGTTTAGGAAGCCTGGTCGGAATGGATGAGTTGGGCCTAAGGGCCTGTTTCCGTGCTGTGTAACTCTATGGTTCTATGAATTTGTGACATCAAAACAGAATTTGAAAATTGGAAAGCAAGAGAAAGGTAAAAATTTTCTTTGTCATTAAATTCTCACATTCTTTACCCCTCATCACCGTTGTGTCTTTCGCTCTGTGATTATAACAGTTGATTGATGAGCCCCGATTGTGTATTACATTCCAGAACGCTTTGCCGAGCCCGTACTGAGTGTGGAGCCGGCGGCTCAAGTATTTGAGGGGCTCCAGGTCACATTAATGTGCATTGCTCAGACAGCGCGGCCCTCCATCCGGCTTCGCTACACATTTTACAGAGATGGCAGCGCCCTGGAGGCAGTGCTGGATGATGGCGGTGTGTACACCATCAACGCAGCAGCTGCAGATGTTTCCGGGATTTATGCCTGCGAAGCGATCGAGACAAATTATGGTCTGCGGAAGAGGAGCGACAATACTCACCTTTCCATTAAAGGTAACTATCTGTCATTATTGCAAAATCCTCAACACAAATTAAAGGCCTTTCAGCCCATTGAGTCAGAAACAGCCACCTCTTTATTCTCTAATCCCCATTTTCCCAGCACTTGGCCCCGTAGCCTTGGCATCCTGAGTGAGTATCTAAATCTTTCTTCAATGTGATGAGGATTTCTGCCTCTCCCACCCTTACAGGCGGTGAGTTCTAGATCCTGTGAGTGAAAATGTTTTTCTTTCCATCCCCTCTAAACCTCCTGCCCCTCATCTTTAATCAATACACCCACCACCCAGGTCATTGGTCCCTCCACCAAAGTTGGAAAGGTTTCTTCTTGTCTACCCTATCTATGTCTCTCATCATTTTATCCATCTCAATCATAACCCCCTCTCTCAATCTCCCCTGCTCTAAGGAGGACAATCCCAGTCTGTTCAATCTTTCTCCATCGCTGATACTCTCCAGCCCTCAAGGCAGCCTCCTGATACATCTCCCTCTGCACCCTCTCCCAGTGCTAACACATCCCTCCAATAATGTAGAGAATGGGTGAACCAGACACAACACTCTCACTGTGGTTGCGCGTTTTCATTCCAAGTGCAATCGCGGTCATCACCAAATCTGAGCTCGAGCTGACACGATGCTAAAAGCCTTGATTGGCCTTGAAGGATTGTTAGGAGTCTCCCGCGCTGACCCAGTCTCAGGATTTTCTTGCTGTCATTCTGATCACTGAGCTTTTCCAAGCCCAGACACTCTACAGCTGAAATGGAAACATGTCCTTCTGCTTTCCAGAGGCGTTCACTGTCCCTAAGCTGACCGTGCATCCTGAGGGACAGCTAGTTGATGGCCAATGGTTTAAGCTGGTGTGCTCGGTTGAAGAGAATCTCTCCGAAGCTTCCTTGCGGTATGGCTTTTACAGAAATGGGATCCCTCTCCAGTCTCTGTCCAACCACAGTGAATACATCTCTGGGTCAGCTCGTCCGGCCGACTCAGGTACTTACCATTGCGAAGTCACGGGCGGTAAGGTGCGGAAACACAGTAATCAGCTCCATTTGTCCATCAGGGGTGAGTACCGTTTATTGTTGTTTCCTTTTTAACCGTTAAAGATTCAAAATGGAGACAAATTAACATCACTCCCCACATCTCACAGCCATATATTGGAGCAATAGAGACAAACAACACAGGGTAATTGGTAGGCCATTTAGGACTAAGATGAGGAGAAATGTCTTCATCCAGAGATTGTGAAGCCTTGGGATTCACTGCTCCAGAAAATTATGGAAATATATAAATGGGAGGAGGGCATTTGGCCCTTCCACCCTGCTCCGTCCATTCATTGGAATCATGACTGATTATCTGAGACAGTCCACTGCCCCCACCTCCCCCTCTGTTCCTTTAGCCCCTGAGAACTCTATCCAATCCCTTCCTGAACAACATTCAATGTTCTGGCCCTGACCACTTTCTGTGACAGAGAATTCCACAGTCTTCCCACTTTCCGGGTGAAGACATTTGTCCCCATCTCAGTCCTACACTGTCTCCTTTAGACTATGAGCACACAGCCCTAAGCTGCCCTCTGTATAATTAGGGATGGGCAATAAACCCTGGACTACTCACACATCCAATGACTGAACAGAAAAAAAAAAGGATATGAGAATGGATGTGACTGTGATGAAGTTCAATGTTGCATTTGCAATTAACTCTGCCAAGCAAAGGGACCTAACATTTGTCTATATTTGCAGGAATTCCAGTGTCAAAACCAGAACTAATAATTCAACCCAAAAAGGAACTAATTGAAGGAGATGCGGGATCCTTAATCTGTTCAGTCTCCAATGGTTCTCTGCCAATTTATTACCAATTCTACAAGGCGTCAAGTGTGGAATTATACTGGGAGATTTCCAACAGTACCAAGTATGTTTACAACATTGAAGCCATCAGCAGAAGGGACAAAGGGCTTTACCATTGCTCGGTGAAAAATGAGATAACAGGCCCTTTGTGCAGTGAAGATGTAGAGATCACAGTGATAGGTGAGTTCAGAAGGACTCTCTCCCAAAGAGTAACTGAACCATTGGCTCAGGGACTACTGCTGGTGGGATCAGCTCAAAGTTGGTGCTTCATCCTTGAAGACCAAACTTTGGATTAACGTGACACAGCCTTGGATAGTAGTGATAGAGGTGTCCAGCATGGGAACAGGCCCTTTGGCCCAACTCATCCATGCTGACCAAGTTTCCCATAAGTCCCATTTGCCTGCGTTCAGAAATGAGTTGAAGAGAGTTCTTAGGGGCTAAAGGGACAAAGCAGGAAAAAAGGGATTGAGTTTGATGATCAGCCACAATCCCATTGAATATGTGGAGATTGGAAGGGACAAATGGTCTACTCCTGTTCCTATTTTCTATGATTCTGTGTTAACAGGGTGTAGTGTTGGATGATCGCCTCTCAACCTTTCCTATCCATATCCCTGTCCAAATTTCTTTTGAACTTTGTCATTGGTACCTTCCTCTACCATTTGCTCTGACAGCTGGTTCCATATATGCACAACCCTCTGTGTGAAAAAGTTGCCCATCAGGTCTCTTACCTCTCTCACCTTAAACCGACACCATTTAGTTTTAGATACCCCTACCCTGAGGGAAAGCCCTTGGCTTTATCACCCTATGTATTCCCCTCATGATTTTATAAAACCTCTATAAGGTCACACCTCAGCCTCCTAAGTGCCAGAGGAAAAGTCCCAACCTATCCAGCCTCTTGTTATAACTCAAACCTTCCAGTCTCAATAACATCCTTGTAAATGTTTTTTGCACCCTTCCCAGCTTATTCCACATGTGGCCTTCACAATGTCCTGTATAGCAGTATCATTACATTTCAACTCCTGTACTCAGTGCTCTGACCGATTAAGGCAAGTGTGCTAAATGCCTTCTTCACCACCTTGAATACCTGACACTCCATTTTCAACTCTGTACCTGCACCCCGAGGTCTCTCTGTTCCACATCACTCCCCAGAGCCCTATCGTTAACTGTGTCAGTCCTGCCCTGGTGTGCCTTACCAAAATGTAACACTTTGCATTTATCTGAATTAAACACCGTAGATAGGGAAAATGGAATTGTATAAATAAAGTCAATGAGTTCAATCCATGTCTTTGAGCTTGGTGTTACATTGAAACATTGGAACCTAGAATATAGGAGCACTCAGCGCTTCGAGTCTGCTTAGCCATTCAATATGACCATGGGGATTATCCATCACTACACCCTGTTAACATAGAATCATAGAAAATAGGAACAGGAGTAGGCCATTCAGCCCTGCCAGGCTGCTCTACCCATTCAATGGGATTGTGACTGATCATCCAACTCAACCCCCTGCTCCTTGCTTTGTCCCTTTAGCCTCCAAGAACTCTCTCCAGCTTATTTCTGAATAACATTCAATAATCTGTCCCTGACTGCTTTCTGTGGCAGACAACTCCACAGGCTTCCCACTCTCTGGGTGAAGCCATTTCTCCCCATCTCAGTCCTACCCCATCTCCTTTAGACTGTGACTCCCTGGCTCTGGACTCTTCAGCTGGTCATTAAGAACATCCTGAGATTCAATGCCTCCCCTCATTCTTCCAAACTCCAGCCAATATAGTCTTTGCTCCACCCATGATAGCTTCTACACCACCTGATCCTAAATCATTCTTGTTGCTGTCGTATCTAATCCATCTCGTACAGAGCGACATCACCCACACTGCCTCCCTCCCTGTCATTTCCAAAAATCGCGCACCCCCTGAATATTTGGTTAGATATTTCACTGGAGAACCAACTCCTGCGCCAATCTCTCCTGGTCTTCTGACCAAAATATCAAAGAGTGTTACATTAATGAACAAAGTGTTGATTTTGGGCAGAACACCAGGCATTTAGAGTGTGAAGGGAGGTGATTGGTCAAGTGTCGATGATTATCAGGGTGGGGTATGGGCTTGGTGTTTATGAGGGTTTGTTTTTTAAATCACAATTTGAGGAGAACTTTGTCAAAAGACTGTATTTCTGAGAAGCGACTGACTTACTTGGCCCCTTCGGAAGGCGGTTCAAAATAATTCCCTTCACTTTTGATTTGGAGTCACACAGAGTTCCATGCTGGGTAAGGATGGCTGGTGTCCTTCTCCCAACGACACCCTTTTGTCTCTGTTCAGCGCAATTTCATGAGCCATCCAGTTTCACCATTACTGAGCTTGTTTCTCATTTCCCCGATTCTAAAAATGAACTGAACTTAAATTATATACACAAACAGTGTGCAATGTTTGGTGAATGATGACAGGCAGGCCTACGCCATTGGGAACTATTTATTCACTCGTGAGACATGGGCAATGCAGTCCCCATCCCTCGTTGCCCTCCCCTTGCCCCCGCTTTGAGACAGTGATGGTGAGCTGCCTTGTTGAATCGCTGCAATCCATGTGCTGTCGGTTGATCCACATTGCTCTTAGGGAGGGAATTCCAGGATTATGGCCCA